ATTAAAAAAAACACTTTAAATATGTACCTTTTCATTATACTTAATAGCTATGATGTCACCAGTAGTCAAACATGCAAAGGATCGTAATGCATTTTCTAAACTGTAAGTTTGTTAAGAAAGCAATTGGAAAATGTAGTCAAATTTACTGATGAAAGTCCTGTAGCTGAGCCTTTGCAGTTTTAAGTCTTGCTAGAATTGATAGTGCATACACTGCYTTTAGAGGTGGCACAGACCAAATCCATGTTAATGGAAATATTTACAAATTGCACACATTAATTGCAATTACATTGTCCCGTTATTTATACCATCTTGTTTGGTGCCAGAAAATATTCAGAAGTTAATTTGACAAAAAAGCACAGTGAGTGGTGTCACAGCAACGTTTTAACCATCTGAAACTTTACTAATGCAAAATAAATTATTTCCATTAATGATGCACTCCAATGAGCCAAATAGCAAGATTGTGAGAATTCCATTGTGGTTGCATTGAAATCTATTACACTTAAGTGCACACAATACAATATTCCAAGAGAATTATTTATTGATAAAAGGATACACTGCCTTAGGGTTGGTGATGTCCAAAAAGTCACATGACTGGGGCTGAAACTTTGCAAATGAAGCCACAGGTAGAGATGAGCTCTCAATGTCTAGAAGAGCACCTTCCTCTAATAACAAGTTTCTCATCATCTGAAGAATAAAAGTATTTCATTGATTTAGTTGATTATTAAATACAGTCAAATCTGTGATTTGTGGATGCTCTTATAAAGTACAGCTCTAATATTGGGCAGCTTTCTAAAATCCTGTATTCTTTTTCCTCCATACAAACACTAGCTGTATTCACATTTCATTTCATAGTYGGACAGACCTACCAATGGATMCTTTTYCTGTTTCCCAAGGGTCTATGTTTTCAGGAGATTCAAATGTATAAAGATTTTGAAATTGTTCAAGTCATGAGGAATTASTGCAAAGTCAGATTTACATGATGCGACGTGTWGGGCTTATTTCTCAAACCAAGGCCCAAAATCCAATGTTTTAAGAATGACAAGCACACTTCAAGCTGAGCAACACCATGCAAACYAGCCCTAAGATAACTGTACTTCTTTCACTTTTTATAAAATTCTTAAAAAAATTAAACTTTTAGATATCTAAAATTATCTACTACCTTATTATCTACTATCCGTCCTCCTCAGTGGTCAAACACAACATAATAAGGAACAAGATAAGGAACTGTGCACAAAGCCCAGCCTAACATGAAAACCCATTGCCTTTTCACCAAATGACTTTATGCCTTGTCTTGATCCTTTGTGTGGGACTATAGACTATATTCACAACTTTCCATATTGAGGTCCAGTGACCACGAACAAAGCATTGAACCGAGGCGTCAAAGTAAGTAAATGAGCATAAAAGAAAAGATCTGTGTGCAGTGTATCTTGACGCCTCGGTTCAATGCTTTGTTTGTGGTCACTGGACCTGAATAGGGACTATAGTCTCTCGTAGCACTGGCTCCACACCTGCTTAATCTTTTACAATTTTGCTAGGTCATGAAAGTGAGTCCAAAGAGAGTCTGCCTAATGGCAATTCTAGTGTGACTACTGAGGAAAATTTCGCAAGTCCGCTATTGCATACATAGTAAGTCTAGATTCATTAGGGAAGTAAATAATATAAATTCACAATTGTCTCACCCAATATGGTAAATAAATCTTSCCTTCATCTGCTACAAACTCTAATACACCACAATGTGTTGATCTGTTTATTTTCTTGTTTGTCAGTTTGAACAGCATCGGGTAAACAATATTCAGCCGCGCTGATAATAAAGGAGGGAAATTCCTATGTAAGCATGCTTGATCAAAAAGGGAAAAATTCMATTGTTTCTACATTAATGGTACTAATTAATAACTTAAATAGCAATAATAATACTAATTTTAATTCTTACATCGAATTCATATGTTTTTCAACTATACATACACAGGGATGCCAACCCCCGAACTTTTCAAATCTTGAGATAATATACATGAACGAAAATGACGTTTCATAACATTAACGATGACATCAGCGCATTTATCAAATTTCGTTATAACTAGTGATTTGATTCGATGTATCTTAACCAATCATATTATAGATTGTATTGTGCAATTGAAAATGGCCGCGGATGGTGTGCAGTGTTATTGTTATCAGAAGACTGGGATTTTTGTATTTTTTCAGAACGAAAATGACACAGATATGCAAGGTAATTTGAGTTTTAATAGATGAAAAGAGATATTTCAAAAAACTGATATATGAATCGTCATTATCCAGGAGAATTAGCGGTAAAATCTTGTGACCGGGAGAAACGGTCTAAAATCTTGAGACTCCCGGATTATCCGGGAGATTTGGCATCCCTGCATACAAAAAGGATCTGTATGGGAAAACTCAGGAATGGGAAAATCTGATAGTTTTACTTGATTTGAAAGTAGGGATTTGCCAATTATAGTGGTTATAACTATAATCAGAATCCCTCTCAGGGCTCCGAAGACATCATTGTTCTTCTTCAGAGTTTTTCCCATTCTAAGTGAGGATAAATTTCAKTTTTTCTGACTATTATTTTTAATATCGTTTAAAATATTTTATAACCCTTATAACCCTTAAGGTCGATACTTCTAATAGTTTTGAGAATTGACTTACTCAGAGTATCCAAGGCAGAAGGCGGCATAATAACTACAAAAATAAAAAATCAGATTGAAGAAACAACGAAAACAGAGATGAATTAGGCCATATTTTGAAGATGAATGACAACTTAAGCTTACTTTTGCCACCACGTTCAACGTCTTCTCGTTCGTTCCCAGGGAACATCACCACTGAATAACACCGAAACTGTGTCTTGAACGTTCTTGGTATAGGTTCGAACATATTGAAACCAAACTATAAGTCCATGAAATAATTCATTAAGCTTTTACTGCACTTAAGTTATGAACAATTTCTCTTGATCGGAATTGACAYTGCGCATTTCACCTATTTGTAAAAGAAAAATGAAATTTGTACTTTAAATATCGACTAACCATGGCTATTTTTTAGTTACGCTTTTGCTTTTCAATCAGATTTCGGAAGTCAAGACGATTTCTCAGTAGTAAAACCCGGCGTCGAAATTTACACTATCTTGAGAAAAATAYAAACTTTATCTGCTGAGTAACCGGTRCAGTTATAAGAACGAAAAAGACTGGTCTTCTAAKGTACAAAKCTAACACAGGTAGCCCAAGCAAGTAAGAGGGGGAAAGAAATCCTAAAAAAAAAACGAGAGAAAACGTTGTACAGAAATCCTTTTTATCACCGAACTTAGTGTAATGTTGGAGTTTCAGAGGTCTTCAATTCTGTTCCGTTGAATC